CTGGCAGAATTGAGCAATTAAAAATAATCCTGTAAAGGTCCAGATACTGAATATTTTAGGCTTTGTGAATATGACCTCTGGTAATTAGTCAGCCTCACTGTTATATCAGGAAAGCAGCCATAGACAACATCTACAAGAACGGCCATATCCTGTGTGCGATACACTTTGTAGACACTGAAATTTGAATTTAATATAATTTTCATGTCTCTTTGTGGGGTTTTCAGCCCTTACAAAATGTAAAGCTCATTCTTAGCCTTCTACTAAGGTGGCAGAGCCTAGGTTGGATTCGCCCCAGGTGCAACTTTAAAGAGAATGGGCGGTGAGACGCAGTCACATGGTCTTAAACATGGGGCAGGCTTTTATGGAAAAGAGTCCACACTTGAGGACTATGAGGTAGATGGTAGGTGGGGAAGTCTAGTTCCTGGTAGAATGTGAGCCTGTTCTCTGGCAGTGAACCATGGCTTTCTGTGTAACCTCGACGCCCAGGACCCTGCCAGGGACTCAAGTATTTAATACCTCGCTGCCCACACTCCTCTAACCCTGACCCCACGCTCAGCGGACCCTACCAAGAGCCAGAGCACGCGCATGCGCCCAAACCCCCCCTTGCGACCAATGAGATCGCAGCACCGGAGCCCAGCCGGCCTCACGCCCGCACCTGGCAGCCAGTCACTGTTGCAGCGGGCGCTCGTGTGGAGGCGTCGGTGGCGGTGCCGGGGGCCTGAGGAGAAGTCGTCACTTCAGGCTTCACCCGGGAGGGCCCCGGGTCGGGTGCGCTGCCGGCAGCCACGGGAAGACCGCGGGGCTGGGATTGGTAAGGACGGGGTGTGGCGCGGTCCGAGTGTTCCTTGAGGGGCGATGAAAGGGATTCCGCGATCCCGCGCCTGCCTTTGCACTGCCCAGCGGCCTGTCCCTGTCTCTGTCTCGCAGCGGGTGAGCGGCCTTGCCTGCGGTCCTAAAAGACCCCTTTCACACGCACCCGCGTCCCTAATCTCCCCAGGCGCCACTTTGAGACGCCCCCATCCCCCAGGTCTTGAGACCGGGCCCGTGCGGGAGCCTGATGCTTCCCCTCAGCGCTGCTCCCGCTGGGGACCCTTGTGGAGCTTTCTCTTGTGAAGATCTGAAACCACTTTTGAAACGCCAGGGTCGCCCCCATTCGGAACATCTGTAGGTTCAGACCCTTTAAAACCTTAGAAGCATTTGAACATTCATGTATTGATTGACCTCTCCCCTACCACAGCGCCTCGTTTTTCTCCTTTGACTGTGTCTTTGGTTGGACTCAAAGCAGCCCCCTCGGCCCTCCTCGAGTGCCCTGAGAGCCAGGACCAAGGCTGATTTTGAGGCTTTTGTTGCGAGCAGTTCCCAGATGGAGTGTTTTCTTTACTGAGGAAGGGGGGATAGGAGAAACAGTGTTTTTGTTTTTGTTTTGTTTTGTTTTGTTTTTTAACCAGAACATCACAAATTTATTTCAGATGTAATATCAACAAGTTTTTTCTTAACTGCACTAAATAAACTTAGCCTTTTAAGTATTTTTAAAGTTAGTCCCTCCAAAAACCTGAGGGAGTTTTTCTTTTTCACACCACATGCCACGTTTTCCCATTAGTTCTTTTCTTTCTTTTCGAAAGACTTTCAGTTGGTGAGTAAACTACTTTGGGGATATTTCAAATTTTGTTTCCTCAGATAAGAACTAATCTATATATTGCATAGATTTCTCTGCAGATTCTTTTCTTTAGAACCTAAATTCATTTACCATACAGTATAATTTTTACTTTTTTGCCCACAGTAAAAACTATCTGTCCTGAAAAGTATGTTGGATACATCCTGTGATCATCCAGTTAATAGAACTGTTTTTACCTCAGTGATAATTTTTACCGTATTTCAAAATAACCAACTTAACATGGGCCATTATTTCAGCCTTTACTGACTCATAGGCATATGAACTAGTGCCCAGCCTCTACCTCTTCTGTATTTTCCTTCTCTGTAAGTGTATGGAATTATTTAATACAAGTTTGATGTAGGACAATGAACCTTTTACAAACATTTACAATTTAGGTTAAAGTCATTGACTAGTGTGGGAAAAGAAATACTATAGTGATAGCCTACACACAATTCAAAATTTATTTATTTTTTTGAGGAATAAGTTTGAGGGAAGGAATTAAATTCTCTTTTCTGGTTAAGTGGGAGATGCCTGAGAAACAGCCAAATGGCAATATCAGGTAGGCAGTGGATAAAAATTATTTCTGTAACATGTAAGTAACCTTAATCCTTCTCTCTGGTTGCGTCAAGGATGTGATCTTCTCCTGCCTGGAATATCTCAAATTCTTTGAAGTTTCAGTGCACGCCCAAGGTAAGATGAGAGATACCTTTACCATGAGGGCTTAACATTATATCTTTTTTCCTTCAATTTTTCTCTTGTTCTCTCCTGTGTTAAAACATTAGTTGTTTAGACAGTACTTTCTGAGTACGTGATCTGAATCTGACTGTGTGTGATAAATTCAGGCTAATCATTGATTTAGGTAATTGTGGAACCTTCTGAGTTGCTTCTTTGAAAAGGGGGAGGGTGGTTGTGACATTCTTTTACCTGATCCCTTGAAATGGAAAAGAAAATTAAGATTCGTAGATTTTAAGCTTTGTAAATCTGATTTCTTTCAGCATGTTTTGAGGCTAAAATGGTCTGATAACAGAAACCATAAGATTTCAGCAAATGTGTTAAGGTAATAAGAGGTTCATTTAGGGTGAATGTATATTGGTTAAAATGATTCCATTGGGTTAGGTTGTTCATTTCTGTACCCTTTTCCAAAAGGGCTTTATTTCTGTAATTGAATGTGGCTGGATAGGGGAGGCCATCTGAATTTATTTTATGCCACTTGGCAAGTTTATAGGTAAGTTGTGTGCCCAGCAACTTGCACTTACAGCTCAGTGAGACCCATTGGGTGGTTCTGGCTCCGTCTCTCATGAGGTTGTAGTCAAGCTTTTGGCTATATCCGCAGACTTGGCTTTTTTGTTGGATGATCTTCATCTAAGCTCACTTGCTTGACTGTATGTAGATGTTTCAGTTCATCACTCTGTGGGCCTTTCCATGAGGCTGCTCATATCATGGCAGCTCACATCCCCCAGAGTAAGTGATTTGAGAGAGAGCTTGCACCCATGATGAAATAAAGACTCCTTTTCAAAAGATAGGTGCGCTATATTTGCTTAGTCCCACAGGCCAACCCTGTGATAGTGTGGGAGAGGGCTACACAAGAGAGTGAATACCAGGAGATGGGATTCATTTGGGGCGTTCTTGGAGGCTGGCTACCATGCCCATTTTTATACTGTTCCAACCTTTTCCTCATATGATCTCAGATATTGTCCTTTTAACATGGGTTAGTTATCTGGCTCCGGGCTAAGGCCAAAACCTTTACTTGTGTTCTAGATCAAAGCAATTCTTGTTTATTCGAGGATATTACTCCAGCACGTCTCATCTTTGTTCTGGATTAAGTTGTCTGTTTTTATGGATCATTCCCATCAGCAAACAGACTAATTGTAATGTCACCTTTCATTAAAAATTCATCTTTTGATTGCACATCTCCCTTCTGCTTATTTTATTTCATATTTGTTTGTCATTACAGGAAAATTCCTCCAGAGTTGTTCATATTTGCTGACTCCCATTCTCTCTTTCTCCTTTAAAACCATTCTTGTCAAGGTTAATAATGAATTCCATAATGCTTAATTCAATGGTCAATTTTTAGTTTTTTAAAAATTTGATATATTGGTAGCATTTGTCAGAGTAACTCATTCTCGCCTCATGTGGATTACAGGATGCTTCTCTTTCTTGATCTCCCCTCCCTCCCTGACATGGCTGTAACTCTTATCTCTTCACATTCTTTTCTGGTTCCTTCTCATTCCACTGGATCTCTAACCAATGGAATGTCCCAGGGCTTGGATCTCAGATCTTTTTCCTTAAGTGATCTCATCCAATTTTGTATTTTAAGTAAGACTATGTGCTGAAGGCTTCAACACTTGTATAACTTTGCCCACACCTTTCCCTGAGCTCTGGTTTTACATATTTGTCTGCTTAGCATCATCGCCTGTTGTATGTCAGCCTCTTCTCCTTCAAATCCCAAATCCGACCCATCAACATATCTTGTGGACCTTCAAGATAATGATCTAGAATCTCCTTAGTACCTCTATTTTTCCATCCTGTCTGTTACTAACACCATCTTTTGTCTGTATTATTTCAGTAGCCTCTTAACTTGTCTTTCTGTTTCCAGCATTATCCTCTGAAGTCTATTTCTTTACACAGCAACCAGAGTGATACTGCTGAAAGGAAAGTCAGATCATATCACTGCTCCCTCCCTTAAAACCCAACAACCCCTCATCACACTTAGAGTAATAACCAAAGAACTTAGGATGGCCTACATTGACCTACCTGACCTTGGCTCTCTTCCATTACAGTGAGCTCATTCTTTGGGTTCTTCTCCAGCTTCCCTCCCTTCCCGTTGTCTTGCCTGTGTTAGCCTCTACTAGGGGTGTCTAGCCTGCAGCCGATGGCTGCATGGGCACAAGATGGCTATGAATGCAGCCCAACACAGAATCATAAATTTACTTGAAACCTTTTTTTTTTTTTTTTGCTTATCAGTTCTTGTTAGTGTTTGTGTATTTAATGTGTGGCCCAAGACAACTCTTCTTCCAATGTGGCCCAGAGACACCAAATTGTTGGACACCCCTGGACCAATCTTTAAATATGTTAAGCATGCTCCAGTCTCAGAGCCTTTGTATTTGCTGTGTCCCTTGCTGCATTACTGTTTCCCAGATAGCCATAAACAAGCCATTCAAATATCAACCTGCCTCTGTATTACTTGTCCTTCATTATTTCCTGCTTCATTTTCTCTCTACATTTATAACCATTTGAAATTTTATGTATGTATACATATAAATATGTGTTTAATATATAATATGTTTTATATATTTTATAACAAAATATATTATTATATATTTTCTAGTTACCTGTACTGGAATGTCAGCTCACTGAAGACTGGGATCTTTGAATCACTGCTGTATCCCCAGTACATAGACCAGTACCTGGTACGTGGTAAGCTCACCAAAAACTTCTATTGAGTGAATAGTCTTCAACTGAAATTTCTCTCAAACACTACCCTGATGCTCCTCCTTCCCCTTTCTCTGTGATTAGGAGACTGTCAAAACTGCAAACTCTGTCATTCCATTTCTGTGTCATTTCTCTGTTTCTTAGTCTTTTGTGGACAGGGATATGTTCTAATTCTATTGATTTCATACATTTTATAGTTACAGTTCACCCAAGGTAGTGGACATCAAAACATTACCAAACGTGTATAAATGACCACAAATACAATCTCTTATGATGATCTTTCCATAGATAAGTTTCTCCTTAATTTCCTAAAAAAAAAAACCCCAAAACTCCTCCACCCTTTTTTTTGGACCCAGGAGTTCTTACAAGGGAATATTTTCTATCTTAGAGTCAATTTGAAAAATAGTGATTTTAATCTTTTGGCTTCTTAACACTTAATAAATGTGGGCGCAAGCTATTTTAACATTATCCTTTGTAGGCTCCTTATGCTTGTAAACTACATGTATACCTAAGTCTGTTCCTCATTCTTTCCTTAAATGTATAAATTAATCAGCCAGTCATTTGAATAACACTGAATAATATAATTCTGAGAGTATAGCTTTAAGCATTAATATTGTATACATTCAAAACCAAGATATGAATGATCTGAAGAAGTTGTACCAAAATTTTTCTTCTGGCAGCTTCCCAATAGCAGGGAGATACTAGTTATGTAGAGATTCATCGCGGAGCCCACCTGACCACTTTTGCAACCTCCAGATTCCTTATAATTTGGCTGACTAATTTATTACTCATACTGGGATATTTTTAAGAGTGAAAAGTGGCACAGGTAATAAATACACAAGGGCAGCAGGTTAAACTGGGATTATCCTGGTCAAAGCAGGATATTGAGCAAGTGTACTGAAAATCTGCATGTCCCCTAACAATGGGGATATGTTTTGAAAAATGCATCCTTAGGCAATTTAGTCGTTGTGCAAACATCATACAAACCTAAATGGCAAATCCTACTACACACCTAGGCTATAAAGGATTGCTTGTTGCTCTATAGGGGATAAAAAATAATTTTCCCTCTACCCTTCTGGGTTCTTGGCTGAAACATCCCTGTAATTAAAGACAGGTTAAAAGGAGAAAAAAAAATGTTTAATAGTGTATATACCTCCTGTATACGTGGGAGAGACCCAGGAAAATTGAGTATCTCACCAAAGTGGCTGAAGAGATGACCTTAAATACCATCTCTGGCTGAAGACAAAAGACGACCTTGGGTAGTCAGTTACAGGAGGTTGCAGGAAAAGCACAGTAGAGAAGGGTAAGCTTGTTAAGCAGAGTTAAGTCTTTGTTTTCTGCATTGGTAAGTGTTTCTAGAGATATGGTCTTCCACCTCTTCCTGTTACAACCAGGAGACAGCCTTACAACTGGAGATTTCCCTTACAATTGTGTATGTCTTTTATAAAGGGTAACTTCTACTTGGTTTTCAGAGTTTATCCAAAGTCTTCTGTTTCTTAAAATTAACCAGCCTAAAATAACCCTTAGGCCAAATAGACATATACTGGAGTGACAGATTCTGTTTTCGTATAGCTTCTAGGCTACAAACCTGTCTAGCCTGTTACTCTGCCAAATACTGTAGACAGTTATAACACAGTGATAAATATTTATGTAATATGTTGTACTGTGACATTACAACACTTATGACCTTGGTAGGCAATAGGCATTGTTTAGCTCCATTATAATCTTAAGAGGACTGTCACTGTATATTCGGTCTCTGTTGACTGAAATGTTATGCAGCACATGACTATAATTAATTTGATCTTCCAAGTTCTTAGTATCAGAAAAATGTCCTTTCTGCAAGAAGTATCCTTCCATCCCTGGGAATATATGCTTCCACTACCAATTTATAAATTGACCATTTGATATGAGTTTAACTCTCTTTGTTGGCTAGATTAGTTTGCATAGTTACTGTAATTCTAATTACCTAACTCTTGTTAAGTCAATGAAGTCTGCTTTGGGGCTTTGAAAATTTAGTATCAGTTGCTGGGATGTGTATGTGTGGGGGGATGTGCTAGGCATTTTTTCCCTTTAATTGAGATATAATTCATATATGATAAAGTTCACTCTTTATTTTTATTTATTATTATTGTTATTTTTTATCCTCACCCGAGGACATGCTTAGAGAGGGGAAGGGAGAGAAAGAAAGGGAGAGAAACATCAACGAGTTGCCTCTCCCACATGCCCCGATCATGATGAACCTGCAATCCAGGCATGTACTCTGACTAAGTGGAATCTGTGACCCTTCAGTCTGTGGGACGACGCTCCAGCCAACTGAGCCACAATGGTCAGGGTGTAAAATCACTCTTCAGAGTTTAAAATTGAAGGATACTTGTGATGGTATTGAGGGCCTATTTGTGTAATCCAGGATATTCTTTCTCAAAACGTGTAATTTAATCACATCTGCAAAGATCCTTTTCTCAAATCAGGTAACATACATGTTTCAGGGATTAGGACCTGATATTTTGGGGATTTGTAATTCAATCTACTTTGGCAACCCATTCCTTTTTCACCCCTCCCAGAAATTTATGTTTATTTCTCCCACTAGTTTATTTCTGCCTGCATGGATTTGCCAATTCTAAAAGTTTTATGTAAGTGGGATTATAAACTATGTGGACTTTTGTATCTGGTTTGATTCATTTAGCATGTTTATAAGGTTCATCTGTATCATACATGTATCCTGATGCTTTATTTGTTTTTATGGCTGAATAATATTCCATTGTATTACCACAATTTATTAATTAATCAGTTAATGGGTATTTGGATTGTTTGCACTTTGTGGCTATTATGAATAATGCTCCTTGAACATTGCTGTGCTAGTTTTTGTGCAGATTTGTGTTTTCAGTTCTTTTTGGTATATTCCTATGAGTGAAATTGCTGGATTATATGGTAACTCTATATTTAATTGTTGAGATACTGCCAACTGTTTTCCAAAGTGGCTGTACCATTTTACAGCAATTACACCAGCAATATATGAGGATTTCAAATTTTCCACATTTTCTCCAACACTTGTTACTGTTCCTCTTTTTGATTAGAGCCAATAGTGGATATGAAGTAGTATCTGATTTTGATTTTGATTTACATTTCCCTAATGACTAATTGCATTGAGCAGCATTTCTTATACTTATTGGCCATGTATATATCTTCTTTGGAGAAATGTCTATATCCTTTGCCCATTTTTAATGAATCTTTTTTATTGTGCTAAAAAACCCATAACATAACATTTACCATCTTAACTGTTTTAAGTATATTCACAGTGTTTTGAATCAGATCTCTAGAACTTTTTCATGTTGCAAAATTGAAACTCAATACTTATTGAATAACAGATTCCCCTTTTCCCTCTCTCCCTAGATCCTGGTATCCATCTACTACTCTACTTTTTGTTTCTTTTGTATTGCTGTGACTACTTTAGATAGTTCATATAAGTGGAATCATATAGTATTGGTCTTTTTTGGGGGCTGGCTCATTTCATTTACCACATGTCCTCAAGGTTCATGCATGTTGCAGTGTGTGACAGAATTTCCTTTTTATGGCTTAATATTTCATTGTATGTATATATCACATTTTAAAAATTTATTTATCAGGCGATGGACATTTGGGCTGCTCCCACCACTTGATTATTGTGAATAGTGCTGCTGTGAACATGTATGTGCAAATAACTTGAAGATCCTGCTTCCACTTTTGGATATATATCCAGAAGTAGGATTTCTCTTTCATATGATAGTTCTATTTTTAATTTTTTGAGGAACTTCTATACTGGTTTTCATAGTAACTGTACCATTTTATAGTCCAACCTTAGTGCACAAGGGTTCCAGTTTCTCCACATCCTTGCTAACAGTGTTATTTTCGGTTTATTTTGATAGTAGCTGTTCTAATGAAGGTGACACATTATCACAGCTTTGATTCCCATTTCTCTGATGATTAGTGTGTTGACTATCATTTCACATACTTTCCAATCATTTTTATGTCATCTTTGGAGAAATGTCTTTTCAGGTCCTTTGCTCATTTTATAATTGAGTTATGTTTTTATTCTTTTATCTTTACATGTAGGAGGTGTTTATTTATTCTGGATACAAGTCACTTATCACCTACATGATTTACAATACATTCTGTTGGCTGTCTTTTTATTTTCATGATGGTGTCCTTGAAGGACAAAAGTTTTTAATTTGATGGTGTTTATTTTGTAATTTATTCTTTTGGTGCCTTGTTTAAGAAATCATTTACTCCTTTTTTTCTTTAAAGAGTTATTGTGGTTTTAGCTCTTACATTTAGTTCTATGATCCATTTTAAGTTACTTTTTGTATATGGAGTGTGGCAAGGGTCCAGTTTCATTCATTTGCATGTTGTCCCAGCAACATTGGTTGAAAAGACTTACCTGTTCTCCATTGAATTATTTTGGTAATCTTGCTTAAAAACAGTTGACCATTACTATATGGGCTTATTTCTGAACTCTGAATTCCATTCCATTGATCTATGTTTCTATTCTTAATGCCAATACCACTAACTTTGTGCTACTTTTTGAAATCAGGAAGTGTGAATCTACCAGTTTTGTTCTTCTTTTTCGAAATTGTTTTTAGGTATTCTGAGTCCCTTGAATTTTCATATTATTTTCAATTTCTGTGAAAAAGACAGGAATTTTGATGAATTTTAGGAGCCTTGCCATCTTTCCAATATTAAATCTTCTGATCCATGGATATGAGATGTCTTTACATTTATTTAGGTCTATTCTAATTGCTTCTACAATGTATTCAATATAATTCAGTGTTTTCAATATAAACATTTTTCATTTACTTTGTTAAATTTATTTTTAAGTATTTTATTTCCTTTAATGTTATTGTAAATGGAATTGTGTACCTACTTTCATTTTCAGACTCTAGTGTATAGAAATATAATTGATTTTTTAAATATTAACCTTGTTTTTTGATGAACTTGCTGGTTC